CCCCCCCCACACCCCCACTGCTCATCCAGTGCCAGTGAGCTGGTCAGCAGGAGGGTGGATGACATCTGGGCCTTGAAGCCAACTAAACATCAATGATACAGTATATAAATTATTGATGTAAAAGAGGTTTTATAATAAGTGATGGGGGAATATATAAAAGTGTCAGGAGACGATCAGATCAGAAGGACGATGTGGGGAACAATAGTTTCTAAAATGCAATTTTAGAAAACTTGCTGTTTAGAAGACTTCCTGTTTTGTAATCGCATAAAAGAAAAAAGACAATTTTGCTAGCTCCTAACAAAGAAGAACAGGACACGCTACAGAATTCACATAGCAGTCCAATGTCCCCAGCTCTCGGTGAATGGGCATGTGTAGTCGTGTTTGTATAGTTCTGAATGTATTAGTAGCCATTTCACTTACTGCTAATATTAAAAAAAAAAAACTTGCAGCTTATTTGCACTGGCCATTAAAGCAAACCTGCAACAGCTATCCTGTAATCTCCTATTCCCAGCAGCTCACACTCATTTCCCTACATTGCCTTGCAGCTCCGTACAGCAAACAAAATGCTGGGTTCCTCTTGGCTTGGATCATGGCTGAATAAAGAAAGATCAATCGGTCCCTTCATGCGTGCCAACAGCTAACCGTGTGGATGGAGGGATCTCCACTGCCAGGTATTGTATTCAGGTAGCTGCAGCAGCCATGGCCCTGCCATGCCACCTTGGCAGAACCATTGTATCCAGCCATGGCTGCTTGGATACAACGGTTCTGCCAATGGGGCATGGCAGGGGTGTTTCCATTCCCTAGATACATTGTGCTAGAAGATGTCCCTCTTGCTCATCTCATTAAGTTGGGAGGTAGGCTCAATGGAGCTGGCTCCTAAAAAAAAACAAATACTGCTGGCTCCTGGATTGGACAGACTGGCTCCTGAATTCCATATGGACCATTTGGACACCCCTGGTATATACCTTATACAGACCCAGTCACATTACCAGGGGTGTCCAAATGGTCCATATGGAATTCAGCAGCCAGTTTGTCCAATCCAGCAGCCAGCATAATTTTTTTTTTTAGGATCCATCTCCATTGCCAGCATTAAGCCCTGGTGCACACCTAGGCGCCACCGTTTTTGCACGTTAGCACCATGCGGTTAGTTGCGCATTTATGCGCGTTGTGCACATTTTGTATGCGCGTTTTAACGCGCGTACATGAAGACGCGTGTTTTGATTGGCAGCTCATAAACCATTGTGGTCAATGGAAGAACAATGGAAGTATAAACGCGCAAACACGCTCACGAAAATGTGCAGCATGCTTGCGTTGCACTTTTTTGGGCCTTTCCAATGAAGTCTGTGGGGAGGAAAAGCGCTCTTAACTGCGCAAAGAAGCTCCTGTATCTTTTCAGGTGTCTGGTGTTTTTCTGCTCCGGTGTGAACCAGGGCCCATTAAAAGTCATGGGATTTCTTGTGTTGGGCAGTTTCGCTTTCGAACTGCTCAAAACCTGTGAACCAGTGCTTAGAGAAAATCTCAAACAGATGTAATTTTTAAAAAGCATGGGCTACCTGGCTCCTGGGATTTGCCCAGCCCTGCGCTGCACAACCCATTCTCCCCATGTAATGGGGATAAGAAATTGTTTGTAGTCCAAATCAAGAGAGCTGCCAGGGTTAATAATACATCTCCTCCTTAGGTACAGTAGAGTAAGTCACCATTGTAAGCCCAGGACAGGAAGTATGGTACTGGCAGGATCACCAGGTGAAAATAAGGGGAAAAAAGGAAGCTAAAGCAGTCATCACATCTAAGGACTGGTAGACTGCAGTTTATTGATTTTTTTATTTTGGGTTTAGATTTCAGGTTTAGATAACCTTAGATGGCTCTTCATGGTGTTAAGGCAGGTTCACTTCAAACAGAGTCAGTCAACTGAAATATAATTACATTTTAGGAGATGATGGATGCCCCTCTAGCTATTTGTTGGGGAGATTTATAGAGTTTTCCAATGGAATACCGAGCTCCACTCCCTATCCACAACTCTTACAAATTAGGGTTTTCCAATAGAATTCCGAGCTCCACTCCCTATCCACAACCCTTACATTAGGGTTTTCCAATAGAATTCCGAGCTCCACTCCCTATCCACAACCCTTACATTAGGGTTTTCCAATAGAATTCCGAGCTCCACTCCCTATCCACAACCCTTACATTAGGGTTTTCCAATGGAATTTCAAGCTCCACTCTCTATCCACAACTCTTACAATTATGGTTTTCCAATGGAATTCCGACGAGCTCCACTCCCTATCCACAACTCTTAAGCCCCGTTCACATTGAGCGATTTATCGCGCGGTAATTCCCGCGATATCGTGGCAAATTACCGCGCGATATCGCGCTCCAATGCATTTCAATGGGGCAAAGGGTCCTCTGTCGCGGGTCGTGTGTCGCTACAGCAGGACCCTTTTTGGAGCGGATTTAGCCGCGATTCAAGCTGGCTCAATGCAAGCTTGAACGCGATATCGCGCGGCAAATCTCGCGATGTTGCGCAATATGCAAATAGCGCAACAAACACGTGATTTGCATATCGCGCAGTGGGAACGGGGCCTTACAATTATGGTTTCCAATGGAATTCCGAGCTCCACTCCCTATCCACAACCCTCACAATTAGGGTTTTCCAATGGAATTCCGAGCTCCACTCCCTATCCATTGGTTTCCAATGGAATTCCGAGCTCCACTCCCTATCCACAACCCTTACAATTAGGGTTTTACAATGGAATTTTGATCTCCACTCTCTATCCACAACCCTTACAATTAGGTGGTCCTCATTATTGGCATCAGGAAGCAGAAGCCTTGCCATTGTGGTGAAGAAAGACCTGAGAACGTCAGATCGGGGGAAACCCACCATTTGAAGCATCCAAAGCCATAAGCAGCCAGCAGATGACTCGATCTAGAGCTGCAGCTAACTTTGATGCGGGCGGGTCTGGCAGCGGTGAGCGTGAGTTGGGGAGGAGGTGCGGCGCGCAGCGTGTGTGGAGCCGTGAACAGGGCCAACTGATCGGAAGCCGATTAATTGATTATTGAAAAAGTTGACAACTTCGATGTCGATTAGTTGTTGCAGCCCTAACTCGATCCATCAAGTCCCACCCAAAAACTGGTCCATTCAGCCATATTTCTAAACGAAGGTTGTCGTAAAACCTCGTGATGTCTTCTTAATAAATGACAGGCATGCAGTTCAGAGGGGAGAATTTATACGCTACATATTTATCAGCTCCGCTGAAGAGCGATGTTGAAAGAGCAATGCCGGTGATTTGCAGACAACACGGAATACCGCTATGTATTATTGATGAACACGAGCAGCTGATGTTACATCAAGGAGAAAACCAGGATTACATGAAGCAGAAACACCAACCGCAGTTCTTAGAAATTCTACTTGTGGTAGTGAAGAGAAAAAAAAAAAATAATAATAAAAAAAAGGAACATCAAAGCCCCCGTTTCCATCCTGACATCCCCTTACAAATCACTCACAGAAACAAGAGGGTTAACGGCATTAAACGGCAGAACGGCTGAACAATCTATAAAAGACACCCTTTTGGTTCACTTACGTATTCCATCAAGAGCCATGGAATCATCCTTCCGTTCATTTACGCTAGCCACCCATGCACTGATCCAAACGTTTTCTACTTTTTCGATCAGATCTGGGACTCCTGCTTTTTTGATTGTCAAGTGTTTGGGTGTTTTTGAAAATTCTTTAAAAAAAAAAAAAATATAAGAATCAATTGGTAGTCTTGAAAATGCTATTCAATTACTATTTGGCCGACGGGTTTTCAATTAAATATGACTGAGGAATGAAAAGGAGATTAAAACAAAACAAAACAAAAAATTACTCGATACACCAAGCGCTTTAAAACCCAGCTGAAAGCAATTGGAAATTTTATGATCTCCCTGATTGCTTATTTTACCATTTAGCCTTATCTGTCGAAAGGATTTAAA